AATAAATAAATAATTTATTTAAAAAAATTAAAAAAAAAATTAAAAAGGGCTGAAGATATAGCTCAGTGAGAGGCCCTATGTTCAACCCACAGTACCGCTGTCAGGCATGGTGATGCACACCTGTAATCCAAGCTCTTGGGAGGGTGAGGCAGAAGGCCAACCTGGGCTGCATACTGCATGGTGAGTTCAAGGCCGGCCTGAGTTATTTAGATCCTGTCTCAAAAAAAAGTTGCCAAGACTACAAGAAAAAAAAATTGGAGGTTACTGCTAATACTTTATGCAGTGTACGTGTTATGTAAACAGTCATGAATAGTATTATTTAAGGAAGCATGTCATGAAAAACTGTCCATGTTCAGGACAGAGGAATATATATATATATATATATTCAATTCCAGTTTGAATTTGTGGAACCTGTGAGCGTAGAGGGCTGACCACAAGCTGAATAACATGATACACATATATACATGGCCTTTGTTGTTTTATTTTTGAGACAGGCTCTTGCTATGTCCTCAAAATGCCCTTGAACTCACTGTAGCCCAGGCTGCCAGAACTCGCAGCGATCTTCCTGCCTCAGCCCCCCAAGTGTTAGGATTACAGGTATGCACCACCATGCCCAGCGTAAATGGCCTTTTGTGACAGGCTTCTCACTTAGGATGTTTTCACGGTTTCCGTATTGTTGCATCAACTAGCCCTTCATTTGTTCTTTTTCTTTTTTTTTGGCGGAACCGGTGATTGAACTCAGATCCTTGTGTTTGCCAGTCAAGTGCTTATCCTACTGAGCCATCTCCCTGGCCCCTTCATTTGTTCTTACTGCCAAGTAGCATTTCTTGGAAGATTGCATCCTATTACGTGTATCTTTTCATCACCACTTGTTTTTTTTGTTTGTTTTTTCTTCAGTGCTGGAGAATTAAACCCAGGGTGTTTCCACTGAGCTACATCCTCAGACCTTTTGAATTTTTTTTTTTTTTAATTTTGAGACAGAATTTCACTAAGTTACTAAATTGCCCAGGGTGGACTCTGACCCGTGGTCCCCCTGCCTCAGCCACCCAGAGTGCTTGGACTATGTGCGTGCACCACCACCCCGGGCTGGCTTCTAGCATTTTACCGTTATGCTGCTGTGGACGTGTGTACAAGCTTTTGTGCGGGCCTTCGTCTTCATTTCTCTTGGATAGCTAGACAGCTCGCTGGATAGCTAGGAGGGGATTTTCTGGGCTATTTGGGAACTCCGTAGCCCCTACAGGACCTGCCAGCTGCTCTGCACAGCAGCCGCTCCCCTCCCATCCCCACTAGCCATGTAGGTCAGACTGATTTCTCCACACTCTCCAACACCTGTGGTGGCCTTTTAGCCGCCTCAGATGGGAGTGTGGGGGTGTGGGGGTGGGAAAGCTCTGTTTATTGATGGGTGATGAAGTTGACACCAGGGTCTCAGGAATGCTAAGAACACACTTTACCACTGAATTATAACCCCAGCCTCATTGTAGTTGCTGTGTGTTTGTTGGTTCAGGACCTAATTCTGCAGTTCAGGCTGGCCTTGAATTCACAATATAGCCCAAGCTGGTCTCCCACTCACAGCCATCCGCCTGACTCAGCCTCCCTCGGGTTCTGGGATTACAGGCATGAGCCACCATTCCTGGCCTTTGGCCTACTTTCCCGTTGAGTAATTTGTTACAAAGTAATTTTCTCATCCCCAAAACAAACCCTGTCCAGGCAGGGCTCAGACTTGCAGTTCTCCTGCCTCTGCTTCCCAGACCACATCTGGGCGTGCACCACCACACCTGGCTTGTTACATGAATTCGGCACTGAGCAGAACGTGCTGCAATTATTCTCTTGGTTGCCCCAGCCCGGTTAGGGCGTCAGCACGGAACTGCTACCGCTTTGCACGGTGCCATTAAGGCCAAGGATGCCTTACTCTTTATACTTGGATGGTGTGGCTCATACCCATTTGCCAAGGGCGCCCCTGACGAGCTCTTTCTCCTCCCGCAGGATCGGGGCGCCCGCCCCCCACTAGGCGGAGTGGAGGGGGGTCCCCCCGCCCAATGGGCCTGGCGAGGGCCCTGCGCCGCCTGAGCGGCGCCCTGGAGCCAGGGGACAGCCGGCCGGGAGACGAGGAGGAGGCCGGGCCCGGGCTGTGCCGCAACGGGTGGGCACCAGCGCAGGGCCCAAGCGCAAGGCGGCGCGGGCGCTTCGTGAAGAAGGACGGGCACTGCAACGTGCGCTTCGTCAACCTGGGTGGCCAGGGCGCACGCTACCTCAGCGACCTGTTCACCACGTGTGTGGACGTGCGCTGGCGCTGGATGTGCCTGCTCTTCTCCTGCTCCTTCCTGGCCTCGTGGCTGCTCTTCGGCCTGGCCTTCTGGCTCATCGCCTCACTGCACGGCGACCTGGCTGCGCCGCCGCCGCCCGCGCCCTGCTTCTCCCACGTGGCCAGCTTCCTGGCCGCTTTCCTTTTCGCTCTCGAGACGCAGACGTCCATCGGCTACGGCGTGCGCAGCGTCACCGAGGAGTGTCCGGCCGCCGTGGCCGCCGTAGTGTTGCAGTGCATCGCGGGCTGTGTGCTGGACGCCTTTGTCGTGGGGGCCGTCATGGCCAAGATGGCCAAGCCCAAGAAGCGCAACGAGACGCTGGTCTTCAGCGAGAACGCCGTGGTGGCGCTGCGCGACCGCCGCCTCTGCCTCATGTGGCGCGTGGGCAACCTGCGGCGCAGCCACCTGGTGGAGGCCCACGTGCGGGCCCAGCTGCTACAGGTGCGGCAGGAGGGGAGGGACCCTGGGGGGTACTCGGCTCGCTGGACAGGTGGCCTCCAGATGGACCTGTGACTGCCCCTCCTGGGGCCGGCGCTTGAGGCCTAAGGAGCTTCCTGGGTCTTATGGGTAGCTGGACCTGAGAGGCTCCAGCTCCCAGAAGCCTCGGGGCAGGCAGGTGCCCAGATGAGGTGGTGGCATTTTGTGGGTGATGGGTACCATGTGGTCTTTTCACAGCTCAGGTGTACAATTCCCAGCAGGCAGTGGGGTGCTTGGAGTGGCTCTGGGCTCTGGGGTAGAACCCAGGTGGGCTGCAGCAGAGCTACATGACTCAGTCCTCAGGAGCTCCAGGGGTCCTGCCACATGTAGGGTACACATCAGGCCCCAGCCCCAGGCCCAGGCGCTCATCCGCTGGGAAGCAACTTTTTTGTTTGTTTTTGTTTTTGCGGTACCGGGGATCAAACTCAGGACTTTGTGCTTGCCAGGCAGGTGCTTGTGCCACTGAGCTGTCTCTCCAGGCAAGGGGAAGCACTTTTGAAGGGTAGCTTCCCAGTGACAAGACAGCTCTCATTTCACTAGACTTGGGGTAGCAGCTTCCTTGGAAGCCTCAAGGGTAGTACCTGGTGTTCCTCAATTTGGGGTCGAATTACTCAGACATCCCCATCCCAACAAACAGGACAGCAGCTGCCCTAATTCAGGTGGAAGAACTCTAGTGTAGGAGTGCATGCCTGTAATTCCAGCACTTTGGGAGGCTGAGGCAGAAGAACTGCAAGTTCAAGTCTCCCCTGGGGAACTTAATGAGAGCTTGTCTCAAAAATAAAAAAGTTGGGGCTGGTGAGATGGCTCAGTGGTCTAAAGCACCTACTTAGAACAAGCTTAGCAAAGCACAGGGACCGCGGTTCAATCCCCCAGCACCACATGCCAGCCAGCCCCGCCCCCTGGTGGGCTGAGCTGGCTACACACACCACACACACACACACACACACACACACACACAAATAAATAAATAAATTTTAACAAATAAAAAATAAAAGAGTTGGGGGCCGGGGAGATGGCTCAATAGAATAAGCACTTAGCGCAAGGGCCTGCGTTCAATCCCCGGTTCCGCCAAAAAATAAAATAAAATAAAAGAGCTAGGGATGTAGCTCAATGTGAAAATATCCAGTACTGCAAAACAAAACACAGGGCTGGAGCGATAGCTCAGTAGAATAAGTGCTTGCCTGGCAAGCGCAGGGTCCCAAGTTCAATCCCTGGTACTGGGGTGGAAAAAAAAAAACTCAGGCTGAGGCTACACTTGAGGCAGGAGGAGGGAACTAGAGCTCTCAGCATCCAGGCTTGGAATTGGCCCCCAGCCTCTCCTGGGTCAGCTGCCTGGCAGAGTGTGACAGCAGGATTCATAAGGGACACTGTCTCTTCCAAAGTGTGAGGGACAGCAACACGGCCTGGGAGGTAGTACAGACCCTGCCACCGGCGCTCTGTGAGGCAGAGGGCAGGCGGTTGGGTTGGCTGAGGATGGCTCAGGGCCGGCCTGAGGCACCAAGGAGCCCAGCAGGTGGGCCTTGGATCGACCTAACTCCCTTGTTAGTACTGCCACACCCAGCCCTCTGTCATACTGAAAACCATTTTTTTCTTTCTCTCTCCTCCAATTCCCCGGCCGGATATGATCCTTATCTTCTGTCTCTGACTTCCTCTCTGTCTTAACTTCTGTGACTCTATGCCAATATCATTCTGCCCTTTCGTCTGTCTCTCCACGCACCTCCCTGTGGTTCTGTCCCCAAATCCTCTCTGCCTTTGTCCTATCTGTGGGTCTCTTGCCCTCCATCCATGTTCTCATCCATCTCTCTTCTCCTGCTTTCTTTTTTTCTCTGCATCCCTGCCCCTTCTCTCGCACTTTCTCTGCCCCTCTCATCTCTGTGCTTCTGTCTCTGTCCTTGGTTCCTGGCCTTTTGCTGCAGCCCCGTGTGACCCCAGAAGGCGAGTACATCCCACTGGACCACCAGGATGTGGACGTGGGCTTCGATGGGGGCACCGATCGCATCTTCCTCGTGTCCCCCATCACCATCGTACACGAGATCGACTCGGCCAGTCCTCTGTATGAGCTGGGACGTGCTGAACTGGCCCAGGCTGACTTTGAACTGGTGGTCATCCTTGAAGGCATGGTTGAGGCCACAGCCATGACCACACAGTGTCGCTCATCATACCTCCCTGGGGAGCTGCTTTGGGGCCACCGTTTTGAGCCGGTCCTCTTCCAACATGGCTCCCAGTATGAGGTGGACTATCGCCACTTCCATCGTACCTATGAGGTCCCAGGGACACCTGTCTGCAGCGCCAAGGAGCTGGATGAACGGGCAGAACGTGATGCCCACAGCCCCAAGTCCAGCTTCCCTGGCTCGCTGGCCGCATTTTGTTATGAGAATGAGCTTGCTCTTAGCTGCTGCCAGGAGGAAGATGAGGAAGAGGAGACCAAAGAGGAAATTGGAGTAGAGACAGAAGACGGAGCTGCCAGCCCCCGAGTTCTTACACCAACCCTGGCTCTGTCCCTTCTCCCATGACACAAACTGATGTCCCCATCCCTACTTGTGCCCCCTTCCCAGAGGTAGCAGAATGGAGAAATCAGCCCTCTGCTGGGACGGGGGCAGGTGTTTCCCAAGACCAACAAGTCTACTGGGTAAATCTGCCAGGCCTGGTGGGCCCACCATGGACATACTGGACCTTAATTTCTCAGCTTCTGTGCTTCTTCCTGACACCGCTTTATGAGCCCAATTCTGGAGTCTTAGCAGAGCTAAAGGATCCAGAATTGAATACCACCAGAGAAGCAAGGGCTGGTGGTTCTAGATTCCTCCACATGGTGGGGCCTGATTGTTGAGCAGGGTCAGAAATCAGTGATACAGAGAGCCGTGGTGGAGGAAGTCAGCAGTTCCTGGACAGCCACAGAGATAAGTCTGCAGGTCTAGGCTGACCTCAGATTCAGGGGACTTCTTGGATGAGACATTTGAGGGGCAAATAATTTGTTCAAGACCTGGAGAGAAGGTTGTAGAACATTCTCAGTATTCAAGACCACTTTGATTGGCCAAAAACAAAGAGTTGTGACTGCATGTCAAAAAAAAACCTCATTGTTCTAGAAAAGCCCAAAAGTTGAGATTCTGTGAGTCAAGGTGGACCACATAGGCAAATACTGGTGATTCCAGAACAAGTTGACCTAGGGAGCCGAACGACTCCGGAAACTGCGGAGTGATACTTCTAGAACGCACAAAGCAGGAAGGCCTGGGTTTAGAAAGACAAAAGAGACAGATTGGGAGTTCTTGAAATGAAAGAACTCCTACCATTGGCCGTAGAACATCTGGCCAAGAGGATAAACGCAGCCTCTGAACCATCCACAGTGTGGTTTTCGTTTCTGTTGGAAGTGCCATTCTAGAACATGCAAAAGAATCAGGATTCTGGGCTCTAAACTGATCACGGTGTCAAGGGCAGCGTGGTGATTCTAGAGGACTCTGAGCTGCTGGCTCTGGTTTGCCTGACGAAGTTGAGAATCTTGATGATCCTCTATGACTTGTGGTTCTGTAATGCCAAAGGGAATCACAGCTCCAGGGATCCAGAGTTGTCTTATTCCTGAAGCCTAGAAGTTCTGATCACCTCCAGATGGACTGCTTGACAATTCTAGGAAGGGAACACAGAACTTGATGTGTAGCATTTCTGGGCTGGCCTGACATGTGAGGGCTAAGGTGAGACCTTGTAGGTCACGGGGCTCATTAGGGTGCAAGGGAAGGGGGAGGCCCAAAACAGGGAGCCTAGAATGTTCTGGAGTACTACACCTAGTGATGTGTGTCTGTTTCTTTAAAGTATTATACATATGTGTATCATATATGCATATAATATATATATATATATATACAGATATCTATTTTTTCCTCTGATTACTACAGCAAGATTAGACATGGAACTGAAGATAATTGGGATGGAGTCCTTTTCAGATATACTGGAATCTTTGCTCTATACCCTAACTGTCCCAACTTTTTGTATGATTTTGGGCAACTCACTCCCCTGTTTGCCTCAGTTGCCCTGTCTGTGAAAATGGGCTTTGGGACTTGGAAGTTCTCCAAGGGCACTTGCAGCAAGATGAGTGCTGGCCTCATGGAGGGTGGGGTGGGGTGCAGGTCCTGGGCATTTCCTGATGATCCTGGATCACACTGCCTCCCAGGGGTAGCTGGGATGGGAGAGGATCGTGAGGAGACTGGCTCTGAATTAGAGTTTGTGAATTGCAGGCCAAGCAAGGAGTGGCATGGACTGCGACTAAGGACCATCCATTGTCACCACCTCTAGCTCCCAGCTCGAGAATGGCAGAGGAAGAGGTAGTTCTGAATACTAGGGGACTTCCCACTGTGTGGAAAAGGCATGTTTGAGGGGTGGGCCTGTCCTCAGATTAAAGACCTGGCCCCCTCAGAGGGTGTGTCTGAGTATGTTTCTGGGGCACAGGTCCTGGGGCCTGGCCTCCACCCATGCTGTCATCCTCCTAAGTGGCTGGCGGGCTGGGAGCCAGCCGCAGAGGGAGCCTATGCCAGGGGAGGATGTGTTCCCACCTTGTGTTCCCAGCTGAGGGCAGGCACTGTCATTGGCCTCCAGCCCACCCAAGAGCCGCATCAGCCCAGGTCCCCTCTTCTGGCTCCCTCATCTCTCTTTATCCTTCAGAATCCCTGTGTAATAACCGGATGGGATTAATTAGCTGCTGCTCTTCCAGCCCAGGCCAGCTGGGGCTGGGGACAATGGAAGCAGTGGTGGGGAGGGGGATTAGGTTGGGGGTGAAGGGGCAGGGGGTGGCTCTGTTTGGGAGGAGGTGGGCAGTGCTGGCACAGCCTGGGTCTCCACTGGGGAGGGGAGGGCAGGACCTGGGCCACTCATAAAGGTCAGTGAAGGGATTAGGAGGCTCCGTGTCTAATCCAGCAGCTTAACTGGGCCTTGGGCCTGAATCCGTCCCCACCTGCGCAGGCCAGGACGACAAATGAGGACGAAGCCGGGACACCACTTTAGCCCCCATCACGGTCCTGGCCCTTGACAGGATATCTGGGTTCTCCATCCTGGCCAGGCCCCCACCCCACTCCTACTGCAGGGAGCCACCAAAGGGCTGAGGACTGAGAAAGGCCTCAGACATGATGGGTTTTGAGAGGGGAAAGGAGTTTGAGAAGGGCCAAAGCGTGAGGGCAAGCGTGATGGAGTCTGGGAAGGCACAAAGAGAGGGAGGCGCCAGAGTTAGAAGGGTGGTGAAGGAAGGGATGTTGCTTTAGGGGAGAACTGGGGCAAGGGAGGAGTCTTAGGAGGATGCTTAATTAGGGGAGGAGTCTAAGAGGCAGAAGGTGCCAGAAGGCGGAAGCCGTGTTTTCACCATATTTGCCCTTCGCTTATTGTCCCATTCTCCTTGACAGATGCCAAATAGCACGGTACTGGGAAGAAAGAGGCTTTTATTTCACCACCCCTACACTCCGAAGAGGCTGAGGCGGTTGAGGAGAATATAGGCAGAGGTATTAAGGAAAGGATTTGGAGAGAGTAGAGGGCTAAGATATGTAAAGACCCAGAGAAGAAAGGCAACAAAAAAGCCTTTGCTGCTCCGGGTTGCGTGGCAACCGCTGGATCAAAAGCCAGCGTGGCCTACTCAGAGGTGTGGCTACTGAAAACAGCCCAGGGGTCAGGCCACGCCCCTAGCAACCATCGTACTAAGTCCCGCCCACTAGCAACGCATCAAGAAAGCGGACTTGGTCGGACTTCGTCAAGGGCTTGAGCTTTAGCGCAGGCGCAGTGTTCTCCGCAAGGAATAGTCCCACCTCCTCGTAACTGTTTTCTGAGGCTTCTCATTGGAGGAAAAGCCTGCCAAGGGCTTTCTTTTGTTTCGGAGGCGGAATCTGGGGCCCTGCTCGCACACCCATTGGCCCCGCCGGCCGTCTGCAGCCAGCCCCGGACATTGCTACATCTGATTCTCGGGCGCCTATTGGCTTTGGAGGCCGATCCTTTCGGCTCCGGGGCGGTCACGCCGAGAAGGCCCGCCGTGGATTGGACGGTGTCAAATCGAGGGGCGGTGCTTACAGGCCGGGCGGTTGAGCAGTGAAAGGAGAGTCTTTTCAGCGCTGAGGACTGGCGCTGAGGAGGCGGCGGTGGCTCCTGGGGCGTTTGAGCGGGCTCATCCGAGCCCGCGGGCCAACGCGGATCCAGGCCCGACCGGCGGGGCCGCCCCGGACTCCCCGCGGGCCTTCCTAGCCGCCATGGAGGACGGTGTCTATGGTAGGCCAGAGAGGGGCGGGGCCGGCGGCGCCCTGAGGGCGCGCTCCTTGCGGGTCGCCCCGCCGTGAACAGCCCCCTAGGCGCGCAGCGCCAAGCGCTTGGTCCCCGTCGTCGCCTGTCTGGCGCTGGACGGGCTTCCGGCGGGCAGGAGAGCGGGGCGTTCCAGGCCATTGTTTGGGCCGAGCCTGTTTCCGGTGGCGGCGGGAGGGGGCGGAATGGAGCTGGAGGCGCGGCCTGCGCGGAATCAAACCCTCTGGAAGGGCCGGCAGATCTTAGCGCCTGCGGGGCGCGGAGGGGGTCCTGGGTCTTTGGGGAGCCGGGGAAAAACCTCGGGAGCTCTAGGGGCCCCCCTAAGGAAGGGGCGGCGGCTTCGATGCTCGTCTCCCGTTCCCCAACTCTTACAAGCTGAAAGCAGCCGCCCCTGCCATCATCACTTTTCATGGGCCCAGGAGTCCCGACCCCCAGGCTGGCTATACTCACCACCCAGGAGCCCAGGCCCCCAGCTCCCTCGCCAGTTATGGAGTCAGCAAATCAAGGCCGCAGCCCCTTTCCAAGTAATGGACCAGAAGTTCAGATTTCAGCTATTTTTACCTCTTTGACCCAAAAGCTCAGGTGCCCTCTTGTCTCAGACTCAGGAGTCCGAGTACCAAAAGTGCCCTCCACAGGGCTCCTGGCCCAGGCCCCTACTCTTCTCTGCCAAGCATGGGAGGCCCTGTGCTCATCTCCCGTAGCCTCATCTTCTCCAGGGTTGCAGGAATCTCATAACTCCCAAGAACTGATTTCTAAACCCTTTTCCTCAGAGCCCCCGGACCTAACCCCGGAGGAACGAATGGAGCTGGAGAATATCCGCCGGCGCAAACAAGAGCTGCTGGTGGAGATCCAGCGCCTCCGGGAGGAGCTCAGTGAAGCCATGAGTGAGGTGGAGGGTCTGGAGGCTAATGAGGGCAGGTGAGGCTGGGGCAGGGAACTTGGTGCTGGGGATGTGGCCAGGCCTGGGATGTTCAGGCATTAACCCTCAAGCCCCCAACTCCGCTCTGCTCTCCCTGCAGTAAGACTTTGCAGCGGAATCGGAAGATGGCAATGGGCAGGAAGAAATTCAACATGGACCCCAAGAAGGTACTTGAGACCAGAGGGCTGGGGTCAGGCAGGCAGACAGGAGATAAGTTCCAGAAGTGTGACAGGTACAGGTGTCCTCTAGGCAGACAGGTGGGTCCTGATCCCTGGCTGTCTGTTTGTTTTGAGAACACTGCCTGAGTGTTCTAGTCTCCTGACTCTTGCTTGTATTCTGCCCCTTGCCTAAAGAGTCCTCTGCCCCTATTGCAGATGTACTCCAGGTTCCAAGAGGAGCTCGAATACAGTAGGGGTTATGGCCAAAATGACACATATAGGGAGAGTAGTTGACTGTTGCACCTCTGGAAGGAATTTCCAGGGCTATGGACACACAGGAGCAGGAGCTACAAGATCCAGGAGACTCACCTGAGGAGGAGGACTTCAGTGAGGTTTGAAGGATGAGTAGCTGTTCACCAGGTGACAAAAAGACATGAGACCTTCAAGCTGACCTCACTCACTGTGATCCTCCTGCCTCAGCTTCCCAAGTGGTACGAATTACAGATCTTTGACACCAGGCCTGGTAGTGGAGGAAATAAATTCATTCACCTCCACACCCATTGGTTGAGGCCTCCCAAAGGCCTAAGTTGGCTTGGCAGTACTGGAGTCTAGAGAAGAATCTGACCTTCCCCTCAGAGGAACCCTGGGCATAGGTACCACAGTTCAGAGGGTTGCAGCTGTTGTGGTGAGCACAGTGCTGCACAGGAGAGCCAGAGAAGGATCCAGTCACGCCGGGGGCCTCATGTTCACAGCCTTTGGCAAGTGCCTTGCTAAGAAACTCTCTCTCTGTTCGTGCCTGTAGCAGTTATGATATGTTCAGTCATTCAGCAAACATTGAGCCCCTGTTGAGGCTGGGGTGGGTTTAGATGTCGAGGTTCATGGAGACGTGAGGGAGCAGGGACTCTCTGGCCCTCCGTGCTGAACCCTCCCCCTGCCGCCACCCCCCCAACCAGGGCATCCAGTTCTTGGTGGACAATGAGCTGCTGCAGAACACACCTGAGGAGATTGCCCGCTTCCTGTACAAGGGTGAGGGGCTGAACAAGACTGCCATCGGGGACTACCTGGGGGAGAGGTGAGATGCCTGCCCTGCTCCTTCCTGCACCCCACAGGAGGGGTGGAGGATGGGAATACCCTGCCCCAGTGGACGGACGAGAATACCGTGCGTGGCTAAGAGGTGGGGGACCACTGCTTATGTTTGGTGGTAGTGGGGAGCTCTGTGGCAGCCTGGGAACTATGTTTGGGTGCTGGAAAGCGTAGGGACTAGCAGCAGTGCAGGAAACGGACCATGAACATCTAGGAGTTGGGTACTTATGGCTGACATTGGGGACCTGGGGCTCTCTGTGGACATCTAGGGTCATAAGGGGGCATATGGGGACCACAACAGGACATCCAGAGCCTGGGGAATGTTTGAGACAGTAAGAGTAGGTGGCCTACGTGTCTTGCCACACTTCTCTCCCTGTTCAAAGATCAAGGCTCCCAACATCCGGCTTAAGGGCCAGGCCTGCCACAGGCTCCACAGGGGTACCTCTCCCCCATCCCCCGTGTGACTGCTTGCCCTCTCCTCCCAGGGAAGAGCTGAACTTGGCAGTGCTCCATGCTTTTGTGGATCTGCATGAGTTCACTGACCTCAACTTGGTGCAGGCCCTCAGGTGAGAGGGGATGGCTCAGAGGGCAGGAATGTATGCTTAGTTGGGGGTGGGGGGGTCATCCCCACTGAGAATCAGTACATACAAGCAAAAGTAGACACAAAACTAAGGAGGGGATGGCCTGGTGTAACAGGAGTCCACAGATTG